CACCGAAGCCCCGTTCGAAAACCACTGCGATGAAATAGTTGCGTGAGACGTAAAACGGGTGGAGTGGATCTGGCGGACATTTCAAACAAGAGAAGTAGCCCAACAATTTCACTCTTCAGAGCCTTCGTGCTTCCCAATCTGGAGTATTGCTGCCAACTTTGGTCGCCACTCAAGGCGGGTGCGGTGCGGAAACTGGAATCAGTCCAGCATGCCTTCACGCCTAGGATCAGCGGTATGAGGGAACTGAAGCTACCCTACAGGAGAAGACTGAAACTCCAGGGACTTTAGTCTCTGGAAAGAAGAGAGGTATATCACATTTTACACTTGGAAACCGATAACCGTCCTGGCTTCCAACTTTGAAAGCGATAGCTCCAAAATAGAGAAATATTAGAACGAAAGGAAGATGAAACTGTGCAAGATTCCCCTCATTTAATAACTGAGCCGTGGCAAGAGTGCAGACTCTTCGTGAAGAATAGGGGAGTTCACACTTGCGACATTCACGAGACGACTGCGGATGTGTGTTTGAGCTTGATCTCAGATTGTCCGGTGTAGGGAAACTACCCTCAGCAAGTGACACGCAATAGCATCTTGCATCAGCTGGCCCAAAAGAGGGCTAATAGACGGAACACGCCCTACGTTACATCCGGGACCCGAGGGCGGGGTGACCTGCCTAGCGACGACTCGGAGACGGAGGACGACGAAGGCGGCGCATCAGCATGACCGGGGACTAGGAAGTCCCGAACTCATCATATGGTCATAAGGTCATGAGTCACGGCGTGTACTTAGGTCGCTATATGTACCTAGGTCGCTATTTGTACTTTGGTCGCTACGTGTACTTGGGTCGCTATGTTTTCTTGGGTCGTTACGTGCACTTAGGTCGTTACGTGTAGTTACTTAGACATTAGACGTGTTTGCAGCTACATGCAACTGCTGATTGAAAACCTCGAAGCATGTACTCCGGGATCGCTTCTTTTGAGTGTTTGGAAGAGAGGGAACCATTTTTGGGCCCACGCATTCGTACGTTCATGTCTAACTAATTTATTGTAACCTTATGTACCATACCATAAACTTTCAAAGTGCTTGCGTTTACATGAATCCATGCTGTTGAACAAATGTTAACATTAATTGTAACTTTTACTTTTTTATTTCATCGAGTTATAATTTAAATCTTTTCGCACTAAATTTTAATTATTGTTACGTTCGAAATTGGCTGTTGATATTTTTGTGGAAAAGGCGAATATCGTTAAATCTAAGTTTATATGCTAACAAACTAAGCAAAAGTGCTCTGAAAATCAATTATTTTCTTTCGATAATTTTGCAAGAGCAAAGGATCTGGGAATCTTCGTGACGGAACATCAATAAATAAATATCGGTCACAGTTTTTTTTTTGTTTCAGACAAGGGGAAATTTCAAGAACGTAGCCAAGTTTTTCGCATGCTCTTGATTTTGCGCTTGAAAGTGGCAAAATTTCATGCATTCCTGGTTACAACTGATTCTTCGTTTTATCATTCGATCAAAATCTTCGTTTTGAATCAAATATTTTTCATAATTAAAATATGATTCAATATGTATATATATGCCTTATACATTTATATGTCATATGGTCAAAGTAATGAAAGCTTTGCCCGGCGCTATATTACTCGTCAGATTCAATTATTTTAATGACAATCATTGCGTGCCGATTGCTGCATCAACCTACACTTAACAATCGATTATCTTACCTCAGGGCAATCGGCTTCTATAATTATCAAATAGTAATAAATATTGCTAACAACTGATCTTTTTATTTCCTCTCCTTAATCTCTCTTTTTACCGCTCCATCCTTCTCCCTAATCTCTCCGTTTGACTCTGATCTTTCTCTCGCTCTCCCTTTCTCTCCGCTTTGTTGTTTACCTGCGTTGCCATGGTAACCACAAAATGGCCTCCGCTCCCCTCTACTCCCCTCACTTTTGCTGCTGCCTGCTGCTCCCCTCACTGCTGCTGCCGCCGCTGCTGCTACTGCTGCTGCTGCCGCGACTGCTGCTGCTGCTGCTGCTGCTGCTTCCCTCACTGCTGCTGCTGCTCCCCTCACTGCTGCTGCTGCTGCTGCCGCTGCTGCTGCTGCTGCTGCTCTCCTCACTGTTGCCCTCACGGCTCCTGCTCAGTATCATGCGCTGCCGTTTGCCCATTTGTACCGATCTTGTATAATTATTACTTGACGTGCCCATCTAGTATAATAACAAGAAAAGTTGGTCAGTAAACTAAGTAATGCTTATTTTTGCTAGCACTGTGACGTTCGAACTTCTCCTCTGGTGAACCATAGAATATACATAAGTGTAAAACTCGTATGTAAATAGCAGAGATAATAGATAAATCGCTCGCTCGCTAACTACATTAATTGTGCTCTTGTTGTCGTTATATAAATTAGCGTTCATTAATGCATTGCATCGTTGCTAGCTGTTTATTTGTTTTTTTTTTCAGCCATTTTGTTATTAATGACTACTTATTTTTTAATACGATTCGCTACAATATCTGAGGAGAAAAAAATTTTTTTAATATAATTTCTGCCCTAATTTCGTTGTTATTTATATTATTTTGTCTCCTAAATATTGGCTTGTGTGAGAGCCTGCGTAAGAATTGACGAAATTGTTCGCGTATCGAGGCATATACAGAGAAATTATTATTAACCACAGCAGGATTAGGAAGCATTTAATATGTGGATATTCACATTTAAATGGGTCTTGTGAAGAGTTAATTAACTCCTTTGGAAATAAATTGAACACAAAAGAAATACAAACAACTCGAGAAAGTTGCTGGCTTAGCGTGAGTGTTGGGCGACATTTAATGGTAGCTTTCATTTGATGTTGATGCTCTCCTACACTGCTGCCACTGCCACCGCTGCTGCCACTGTCACCGCTATATATGGCTGCCACAGCTGCTGTGGCTGCTGTTGCGCTACCGCCTCTGTCGCTGCTGCCACCGCTGCTGCCACTGCCACCGCTACTGTGGCTACTTCTACGCTGCCGCCCCTGTCGCTACTACAACTGCCACCGCTACTTCCACTGCCACCGCTACTGCCACTGCCACCGCTGCTGTGGCTGCTGTGGTCCGGCGATGAGAGGTCGATTCGTAATGGCTGTGCTGCTCGTAACGACCCTCCTTAGGCGCTGCCTGCACCCTGCCTGCCTCTCTACTGCTGTGGTGCTCTGCTGCTGCTGTGGTGCTGTGCTGCTGTGGTGCTGAGCTGCTGCTGCTCTGCTGCTGCTGTGGTGCTCTGCAACTGCTGTGGTGCTCTGCTACTGCTGTAGTACTGCTGTGCTGCTGTGGCGCTGATGTGTGGGTATGGTGCGGTGCTATATTGCGGTGTTTTTTGCTGTTTTGCTCTGATGTCTTGGTACTGCTGTGATACTTGGGTGCTGCTTAAACGGTGCTGCTGCTGCTGCTGCTGCTGCTGCTGCTGCTGCTGGGTTGCGCCTCCTTTGCTGCTGTGGTGTTGCTGCTGTGCTGCTGCGGAGCTGCTGTGGTGTTGCTGCTGCACTTTGGATGCTATTTACATCTGATCTACTCCTGTTGTTGCACTCTTGTTGTTTGGAGTTACTCAAAAATGTTCCATCTGGCAGAAAAAATTATTATCTTAGTTTTTGTGTGATATTTTTTCATATGTATTCTATATTATATAGAATACACTATACATCTTTATTTTGACATCTGATTTCGAAATTATTCAACAAAATAAAGCTCAGATTATGTTCATTAGTAAATTAATAGAATAGGAATCATATAATGGGATCTGCAAACGTTGCCTCGGTCGCGTGGTCGATGTTGTGTTTATTTCATATTTTGCAGCATTTAATGACCTCTTCGACCCAGACCAGTGGAAGAAATAATCTTGTGCATTAGGCGGTCATTAAAACAATACTGCGGCAAATTATTGTTATATACGGCGGTGTCGCTAACTGCCCCATAAAATAGACTAGTTGGCCCTAAACTGCGCTCAACTGCGATAAATGCCATGAGCATTGGTTTTATCAATTTGAGCTTTTGTTTATACAGAATTATAAATAGGTATTGGAAATTGTAATATAAAACTTTGTATCAATTTTAGCCTTTATTTATACAGAATTATAAATATTTATTGGAAATTGTAATTTAATACATTATTTATTGATGTCACAAGGGTTTCCACGCTGAAAGTTTATGAGAAACCCACGAATGTGTCGGTAGTTCTTACGTCAAAAGATTTTAGAAGCCAACATGAGGTGCACCATATTTTACTATAATTGGATTTCTAGNGCTCAGCATGGTTGTGCACGGTAGTGCAGGTTACGCTCAGCATGGTAGTGCACGGTAGTGCAGGTTGTGTGTCAGGCTAGAGGACCAGAAAGAGGCAGCGACAGCGGCGGTGAATTTAGAGGGTAGCCTCGCGCGACTCATCAGCCAGAGTGTCCATTACTGCAATTGTGTGTGTTGTGTTTTGTGTGATGTGATGTGTGTGATGTGTTTGTCGTTTACGTTCAATGCAATGTATGGTGTGATGCGTGGTGTGTGATGTGCATCGTTCAGTCAAGCGTAAGAGTGTTGTTAGTACTTTTCTGTATGTTGTGTGGTGTGCTTGTGTTCGATGTATTGCGTTGTGTATGAGCTGTGTTTTCCTGTGACTTAGGTGTTGAATAAATTTTGTTCTTAATAAATTTATTATTGTTGCAATTTATTTGAAAATAACACTAAGGTATTTAGTAAATACTATATTTATTTTGCCATACATTTCTGGGTTTTTAGATGTGGTCCAGATTTTGAGCAGCCACATTTTGCTGCGTAATTTGTGTGGTCCAAGATTTGTGCTTTGTAAATTGTGGGGTTATTTTGTGCTTGAAAATCGTGCGGTCTTATTTATATTTATTAAAGTTTTATGATTAGTTTAGTTATACCTTATCCCTCGTTGCCACCACATGCCACCTCTTAACCTTATCCCTCGTTGCCACCACATGCCACCTCTTAACCTTATCTCTCGTTGCCACCAGCATTCATCGCTGCCAGCAGCGGCGGGGGCGATAAGGGCGACACTGGGGACTCGTCGCACCCCTCCCCCCCGCAGCCCTCGCCGTCCCGTCACAGAGAGCTTGTCACTTACGACCATCACGTGCTCGACGGAGAGCTATTCCTACAGGTAAGTAAATCAATAATTATATTTACTTATTTATAATTACTTTAATAAGTATTTAAAATCACAGGTAAATAAATCAATATTTACCTCTAATTATTTATTAATTACTTTAATAGGTATATTAATTATCATTCCAAGTGGACCTTAATTATTTTTAGTTTCGGAATCTTATAAGTCATCAATGCTTGTCACATTTCATACTCTATCATCTCAGTTATTTGCGAGTGTACAAATTTTGTCAGTTTAGTAAGTCCAATAGTTCATCATGCTGTATTACCCAGCATAATATACGTACCTTGTATTATTTCATGTATTATTTAACATTTGATACTTTGATCAAGACTATAGAAAACTAAAATTATTTCATTTGTAAGTTATGATTTGGAATTATATTTTTTTACGTTCAGAGCATATGATTAGTTCATCTTGGTAAGTGAAATTTACAGTTATTATTTTACTAAAAGAAAATAATAATTCTATACTATAGTATATATTATATTCTATATTATAATAATAAATAATATATATTTAGGTTGAACCTAAAAATTTACGTGAACTTCACGCGCTCGAAGTGTCGCGTTCAAGCATTAACGACGTCAGATTTTTTCTATCGTATTCTGAAAATTAATCTTTTCTCGGTAAAAATTTGATTAAAGATTACAATTTTTAAAAATAATTTCATTAATTCCTTGTAAAATTGATTGCTTTTGGTTCTTACTGCCTATCGCTTTTGTTGTATTTGGTGACTTTAGCTTTTTGAAATTTCCAGTCGGAACTTTTTCATAAACACTGAAGTTTCAACTTGAAATAACCGTGAACCGTTCAGTGATTTTTAAAGTATTTTACTAAATACCGCAATACTTAATTGGTGCGCTTAATAAAAATAATATCGCTATACCTGGTGCTTCTTATATTATTGAATAATATGATACTAGGACGTTTAATTGGACGTTTAAATCTGTGTTGTGGACGTTTAAATTGACTGTGGATGTTTAAATTGACTAGGACTTTTAATTAATTTAATCATGGAGCGTTTAATATCGCAATGCCTGATGCTTCTTATATTATATAAAAGATTATTTGATGTATCTCAAAGAATGCACGCAATTACACGCAGTGCATGCACTGCAGCACGCAATTGCACGCAGTGCATGCACTGCAGCACGCAATTGCACGCAGTGCATACACTGCAGCACGCAATTACACGCAGTGCATACACTGCAGCACGCAATTACACGCAGTGCATACACTGCAGCACGTAGTTGCACGCAGTACACACACTGCAGCACGCAGTTGCACGCAGTACACACACTGCAGCACGCAGTTGCACGCAGTACACACACTGCAGCACGTAGTTGCACGCAGTGCATACACTGCAGCACGTAATTACACGCAGTACATACACTGCAGCACGCAATTACACGCAGTGCACACACTGTAGTACGCAATTACACGCAGTGCACACACTGTAGTACGCAATTACACGCAGTACATACACTGCAGCACGCAATTACACGCAGTACATACACTGCAGCACGCAATTACACGCAGTACATACACTGCAGCACGCAATTACACGGAGCTGTGTGCGTGAGCCTCAAGCGCGTCCGAAAGTAAGGATAACTGTCTCTCGTTCGCCTGGAAATCTCATCTCTTTTACTCAGATAATAATTCAGATAATAATTCAGATAATAACACAGCTCTGCGAGAGATGTTCCTACGAAGCGTGAACAGCTTAGAGGTTTCCCGTACGTATATATATTCGTACGTCACATTAAACCCTCTACGTACGTTATAGATAACGTCGGTCTATATCTTCACGTCTCGGTAATGACAGATCTTTAACGGACAGCTTTCTAGTGCTGCTCTAGATCGCTCGAGATATTCTCTTGCATGACTTCTCAATGGTTAATAATAAAAAATTGTGATAGCAGTGACGAGTGATTTACATTTATTCCTTCTATTTGAATTGTAATGAAAGTTTGAGTATCTAAAGAATTATAGTTTTTATGTCGAATGGAACTTGTTTTTTATGTTTTTATGTTTCTTTTTTAGACGATGAGCGAATTTTTTTACTTAACGGTTTATATTATTTTAATTTATGTCAATTGGGTTCCTCGTCATTTATGCTCAACTTACCTAATTTAAAATCAACGAGAAATTACAAATCGTGTTTGGCCGCCGATGATTCGGCCAAGTTCCTTATTGCCTTAGATCAGTCTCGATATTAGTATCAAATTGGATCGGAAGAAAAACGTAAGCTACCACAAACTCATACATTATTCCCTGGCTGAACTCCGTTCGTCAATATTTCTAGCATTCAATATTGACGAACATTTTATTTATTTATTTATTTATCATTCATTCATTCACTCATTCATTACAGCCTGGTCACTGCAAAAATAATTCTCTGCTGTTCATTGCATTTTTGAAACGGGCCTTAAATTAGGGTAGTGTTATAAGTGCTGAAATCGTGGTATGAAATGTTCCACAGTATTAATTATCATATACATTTATTTCGTAGGAATCGTAGTTTCTGAAGGTTGAAAGTACGTCAAGAAACTTAATAATATACTATGCTTTTATATATAACCTTTCAGTGGTACTCGGTTTCATTTTTTCTTGTCAGAAGCCATCTCGAAAATGTACAGTTTCTAAACGAAGCCGTGCCTTCGATTTGCAGTATTATAACGTCAAGGTGTTATTAAAAATTTTTTATTTTTCATATTTTCAAATAGTACCCTATAAAGAATATATTTTCAAAGATCTATCGATGGGATGGGTTGATGAAGGATAAAGTTGGGTAAGGAGATGACAGATAAAGTGGGGTAAAGTGATGAAAGATAAGGTTGGGTAAGGTGATGAAAGACGAAGATGAAATAAAAGGAAGAAAGTTGAAGTTTAGGTACTTTAAATAAGAATAATTTAAATGTTATGTACGGTGATAGAAATAACATTCGACGGTGAAGAACCGACAAGCTTAAGATCCTCAATTGAAAATTGCGGAAGCCATTCTCTAGAAAGGTAAAATATTTTTTTTTTCAATAAATCTGCTTGTTAACTCCTAAAATTTTAAGTTCTGTAGGTGTTGATTTGCCTGTTCATTGCTCACTTTATTACTACAGTTTAGGCCATGTACCTCGATATAAAAAATCACTCGTATTACAACTCAGCATATCATCTGATACCGAAACTATTCATTGATTTGAATTAAGATCAGGATAAAATACTACGATCTTCTGCTAAATTAACAAATTTTGGAAATGTAAAAGTGATCTGCTTCTTGTACCTGGATAACCATCGCTGTAATTAAATAATGACCTCCAGAAAACATGTCTGGATAAATGCATTTGCTTCAGTGAAGCGACAAGTTAGCGTTTGTTATCCTCTGAGAGAAGAGTCGCTCTAATCGCCTCGTATATAATTATGTGCTTGAATTATTGTATAAGAGTCTGGTCAGGGCCCCAGGCCGGGTGAGGCCAGATGGCCGCGGCCCCACGTGGCCGCCGCGGCGCCCCCAGATGGCGTTCAGTCACGCCATCGCCGCGCAGGCTCTCGCTCCTCAGGAGTTTACTGCTCGATAAATTATATGGAACGCAAATTCTACATTTCAATAATATGCAAAATTTCTATCTTAAACTATTTATTCGTAATATAAGATGCAAATAAGACAGAGAAAAATCATATAAGAGAAAAAAATCGGTCCCGTAAAATCAGATATTTATTTATGCTATAAAAAACTAAATTTATTAAGCGAGAGATGAGCGTGTAGTTCAGGTTTCAATACGTCAACGCCAAGCTGTACATTTGGAAAAAAATTCAGCCGATATCACTCCTTAATTAGGATGAATTACTTCAAATATATATTAGGAAAAAAGCAATATCAAAAAATATAAAAAAATCAATGATCAAAAATTAAAATTTATAACAAATCAATTAATAAATCAATTTAATTTTCGATACTTCATGAGTAATTGAACTTCAAAGCTGCGGGAGATTTCAAGTTTTTCACGCATTACTTCTCGTTAAATTTGGTCTTCATATATCTTAGGTATGGTAGGAGATAACAATAAGAGATCATATTTTATGCATGAAAAAAAAGATAGTGTATAGCTGTGCAGCAATGCAATACTGTACCGGTCTGAGTGTGTTGTCCCTGTGTGTTCATACAACCCCACATACAACACACATCGTAACTTGCACTCATGACTTCACACCTTTTCTCGGCCTGACATTTCCTAGGCAAAGGTTATGTGCAGTAAAACTCGTGTCTGTTAATTATTTCTTCAAAAAATATAAGCGGCAAGACGTCCTAAGTAGGAACTTGTTCTCGTGGTTGACCTTCCCAAAACCAACAATCGGGACACAGAAACCAATCTTTAAACTGTATCGGTCATTTATTCATTCAACGTTCGCACGATTTTCATGCGGATTTGTACTTGAAATTGAAATTCGTGTATTTCGAGAACCGAGATAGTAATAATTATATGTAAATAATTGAATTTAAAGTTTGTTTTGATGAGTTGAAATTGTAGTGACTTTATTTTAGGCAGTTCAAACATTTTCTGATTTTACTGCTCGAAGAAGTCGCTGTCAAACTGGCGTTTTTCACAGAATAATTCCAAGTTTATTTTCAGACTTCTTGTTTTCTTTTATATAAATTGGGTTTCATGGCGAATTGAAATATTGTTGAGCACAATGCTAGTGACAAGCTACCTGCTACATATAATAATAAGAGAAATTCAGGAGCATTGATCGCGTTCATAACAACGATCGTTCAATAAAACTCAGATAGGCGTTTGTGGCGCATTGCATGCTAGCGGTTAGTTCAGTTTCTACTAAATTTGAAATCTGGCTTTCAATTTCTGCTCTCTCCTTTAACAATTTTTAGAAGGCTTCGTAAATCATGCATTTTTTTCAATCCATTTCTTACATTTTACAAGATATAAAATTGCTCCGGGATTCATTTGTATATCAGGAAGTGAAATTTGAATTCAATATGA